ATACTAAAACAAATATTCTTAATGAGCCTTGTGCCCTACTCCATTTGCCTCCAAATAATCCCTTCAGTCTTGCATAGCAACTTTCACTATGGAGAGGACATGCCTTTTGATCCCTTCAAAAACCCACAGGTTCCTGCATTTCCATAACCACCATAGAATGTATGTTGATATTTGTAACCGTGCCTCTGATGTGTCATCTCCATTTAGCTTACAAACTTGCCACCATGCTTGATTTTCTGAGATGCAATCATTCAAGCATTGTCTGAGTCTAAGTGCAAGTATTTTAGAAATAATTTTGTAGAAAACTGCACATAGACTAATTGGCCTGAATTGATTAGTGGATGTGGGGTTGTTGCAATTTGGAATTAAAGTGATGAGTGTGTGTTTCCAGTACCTTAATAGCTGTCCAGAAGTAAAGAAGGTTTTGACTGCAAAACAGATGTCTTCTCCAACAATGGGCCAGAAATGCTGAAAAAATAGTCCTGTCATTCCATCTTCACCAGGTGCTTTATCTGGATGAATAGAAAAAATGCTTTCTTTATATCCTCATCCTCAACTGGTGTTGTGAGTGCTGAGTTCATTTCTTCTGTAACTGTTTTCTTAATTAATGGCAATAGATGATGCCCTTGCTCTGAGCCTGCTGATGTGAATAATCTTTGATAGTAATCTGTGACCACTTTTTCAATCTCCACAGGGTCTTCAATTAGCCTGTTCCCATCAGCTACCAACTTCACTATAGAATTCATTTTTCTTCTTTGGGCCACATAAGCATGAAAGAACTTCGAATTTTTGTCTCCCTCCTTGAACCACAGAGTTCTAGCTTTCTGCTGCCAGTAGATTTCTTCAGAGAGATTTGCTTCATCCAATTCTTTCTGTATTATGTCCCATGTCTCCCAATTTCTCTCTCCTCATGCTTTTCTGAGCTCTTCTAGTTGTAAAGTTAGTTGCTTGACTTTGTCTGATTGGGCAACATAGAAATATCTGCTCCATCTGAGAAGAGCTTGTCTGGTTCTCTTTATCTTCTCTTTAATGATGAACATGGGTGTCCTTGTTTGTTCTTCACCCATAACACAGGTAAGTCACACAAATAAAAAGTGTCATACTAAATATATAATAATATATATTTTGATAAAAGGTATTTAAATTTTCAACTACTTTTTCTCATTAATTTTAGATTTTAAGGAAAATATTAGCAAGGACCCGTGTAATACGCGGGCGTTGTACTAGTAAATTAATAAAAGTGATGAGCAAATCATTTCTCATCATACTATCGATAAAGGACTAGGGCTGAGCAATGATGCGGTTCGATGAAAAACCACATTGAATCGCACAAAACCAAAAGCCCAACTTAGCAAAAA